AGTGTATTCAAATTGAGATTTATAATGACTTTTCAATACTTTAGAAATTATGGTGTATTAAATTTAAATTTTGTTTAGACTTTTAAAAATATTTGGGGGTATTCAACTAAGATTTTAAAAAGTCTTACAAAATGCTGAGGTATTTAACTTTTGAGACTATGATTTCTTAAGACGTTTTAAGATGTGGGAGATTTTTAAAGAAAAAGACCTCAATATGAATTCTCACTTCAAATCTCATCTCTAAACTTTAAGATTTCACAACATTCCTCCAAAATTTGATAATTTTTTTAAAAATATTTGAAAATTTTAACAAATGTCAAATCTTGAAAAATTTTAAAATGTCATTTGAAATCTTAATTAACACACCCTTTATATTATAAAAACATTATATATATAAAATTATTATAGGAAGAGAATGAATTGTGCCCTAACACGCAAATCTCGCGAAGCGTAACAAATATTATATGAAGTGTTTAAATTTGCTATAGTCACACTAATCTATATATATATATAATTACTAGCTGTTGTGCATTTAATAAAACATAATAAATTATACCTACATGGCAGTTTCCCGCCTTTTTCCGTTACAACTGTTTATTTATTTATTTATTTTTTTTTCTGAAATTACAGATCATATATTTGAAATTCAAGGAGCTACTTTTTAAAAAATGGCAACTAATTAATTCTGAAATAACAAGTTAATGTTGTTACCTAATTTTTTTTTAAACGTACCAATTGTCTCCATAATTATCAAGTAATTATTTTTCAAACGGCAATGATTAGATTAAAGGAAATAAATGAAAAGTAATAAAAAATATAAAAATAAAAATATTACAATTTACAAAAACTAAAAAATAAATTAAAAAAAAAAACTCAAATGCTTCATCTGCCAATTTCTGCAAAAATCTATATATATATAATTATTGGCTGTTGTGCATTTAATAAAACATAATAAATTATACTACATGGCAGTTTCCCGCCTTTTTCCGTTACAACTGTTTATTCAGTCATTTTTTTTTATTTTCTGAAATTACATATCATATTTTTGAAATTCAAGGAGTTACTTTTTAAAAATGGCAACTAATTATTTCTGAAATAACAAGTTAATGTTGTTTCCTAATTTTTTCAAACGTACCAATTGTCTCCACAATTATTAAGTAATCATTTTTCAAACGGCAATGATTAGATTAAAGGAAATAAATGAAAAGTAATAATAAAAAAAATATTACAATTTACAAAAACTAAAAATATAAATTAAAAAAAAAAAAAACTCAAATGCTCCATCTGCCAATTCCTGCAAAAATCTATATATATATAATTACTGGCTGTTGTGCATTTAATAAAACATAATAAATTATACCTACATGGCAGTTTCCTGCCTTTTTCCGTTATAACTGTTTATTTTTTTTATTTTTTTTTTATTTTCTGAAATTACAGATCATATTTTTGAAATTCAAGGAGTTACTTTTTAAAACATGGCAACTAATTAATTCTGAAATAACAAGTTAATGTTGTTACCTAATTTTTTTTAAACGTGCCAATTGTCTCCACAATTATCAAGTAATCATTTTTCAAATGGCAATGATTAGATTAAAAGAAATAAATGAAAAGTAATAAAAAATAAAAAAAATAAAAAAATTACAATTTACAAAAACTAAAAAATAATTAAAAAAAAAAAACTCAAATGCTCCATCTGCCAATTCCTGCAAAAATCTATAGATATATATAATTACTGGTTGTTGTGCATTTAATAAAACATAATAAATAATACCAACATGACAGTTTCCCGCCTATTGAAGAACCCTGTATTCAGTCATGGACAGTTGTATGTGGCACTATCTAGAGTCACGAATCGGAGGGGTCTGAAGATAATGATCTGTGGTGATGGAGATTTTGACGATAGGAAAACCACGAACGTTGTATATAAAGAAGTGTTTAATAGTATTTAGATTTAGATTTAGATTTTTGTTGTTGAACTCGAGTTATCAATGACCATTGTTATTATTTTTACTATTTTTTCTTTTTTATTTTTTTCTTTATCATATAGCTTTCCGTGCAAATGCACGGGTTAAAAACTAGTAGTCTAATAAGAGAATATGAATTTACAGTCTGTCTAACTATTACATCGAAATAATTTTCATATATAAATTCACACTAATAAAAGTATGGCGATATAAAAATATGTTTTTTTTTTTTCAAATAATAGGAATAGATAAATTTGTCTAACAATTAGGCGAAAATGTTAAGGGTTTGATTGTTTATGAAATAATTTGTTCAAAATGAGTTACTTTGGTTAACCATAGTTAATTTGAAAAAGGTGGTATGGTTAGTTGTTAGTGGAATTTTAAGAATGTATTAAAATAATATTTAAAATAAAATAATTAAAATTGATTTGATGTAAAAAGTAAGAGATAAATAATTGGAAATAATAGGTAGTTAAAATTATGTGAGTGGATGAATAGTGAATTAAAGTTGATGTGATGTGTAAAAAATGATTGGTTTGTATTATTTAATTATATGAATAATATTAAAGATAGTGAGATTGAATTAAAGTTGAGTTGCTGCCAAAGCCTAAAATTATGTAAGAGTGATTTTTCCCCCAAAATTCCGCCCCGCAACCCTAGCGATCCGTCTTCGTCAAATTCGCCGGTAGATTCTCCCTCGCCGGACTTCCAGGTCCGTCGGTAGACGGCCTCCGTCGCTCGTCCATGGCGGTGCAGGCCCTCGGCTCTTTTGCTGCGTCTGTGACTTTTTCGCGCGTCGGCCAAAGGAGTGGCTTCCCCTCCCAATTGTTCGCCGGAGTCCAGGTTCAGTAGAAGATTGTCGGAGTGCGGTGCTCGGCCATGGACGAGGCTGGGTTAGCTGTTATCGGCTTGGCTGGGACGGTGCTTAATCTCCCTGCTTGCCCTTCTTGAGCCGATTAAGACTGCGCCTTTTCGCCGGCGAAGTGGCGATTGCCTGTGGCTTCCTCTTGTTCGACACCAGGTTGAATCAACCGGAGGTAAGCCCTTGAGATTGCTGCTTTAGTCTCGGTATTCTATTTTGTCTTGAATCGGAAGATTCTCTCGGTTTGTTCTTGGCGAGCTGTTATGTGAATTCTTGTTGGGGTCGATGGTTCTGCTGGGGTCAGAGTCCTGCTCCGGTTAGAGCTCGATTGATTGGTTGTGTTCAGCTGATTCGGGCAGGGTCGATTGAATGCAGTTTCAGGCGGGCTGACTCGGTGAAGCCGAGCCGTGTCTGCTAGTCACGTGTATGGAGTGCAGGCCAGCTCTTCGGTTGGTCCCGGAGTATGGGTGGCCGTCTTGCTAGGCCTTATGCAGTGGTGGGCGGTTGATTCTGTGCTCTGGAGCTGTCGTTGTAGTCGGTTTGTCTGCTGGATACCTAGTTGCATCGGTTGAGGGAGGCTGCGTCCTTTCTTTTTTTTTTGTTTGTTTTTGTTTTTCTCTGGGGTAGGGTTGTGTTTATTTGCTTTCTAGTTTGTTATGTAGGTTGTCATTGTTTTTGCTCTGTGTGTTTGTTTATTTTTGGTCTGGGTCGTTGGCCCCTGTGAGCCGTCTGCGTACGGTTGTTTTCCTCGTTTGGGGCCGTTCCACATTACCTCGTCTGGGGTTGTTCCATATCACCCCGTTGGGGTCGTTTTTATTTTGTTGTGTCGTTGGTTCTTGTGTTGGTGTTGGAGTCATTTTCTTTCTAGCCTTGCTAGCGTTTCTAGGTGGACCTCGGTCTAGCCTCCAAGTTTGTAATTTCGCACATTTGTGCGCTTTTCTATAGTACTCTATCGTTCCGACCAAAAAAAAAATTAAAGTTGAGTTTAATTTTGAGTTGAAATAAAATTGAGTAAATTAACTCATAAACAATCAAGCCCTAAGTAGTGAAACTCTTAGACATATATACTTTCATAATTTAACAAAAATTATATAACATAAAAATATGATAAGCATGGATTTCGTAGGGCTTGATTGTTTACAAATTATTTTACTCACTTTTATTTCAACTCAAAATTTAACTCAACTTTAACTCAACCCCACTATTTTCAATATTATTCATATAATTAAATAATACAAACCAATCATTCTTACACATCACATCAACTTTAATTCACAATTCATCCACTCATATAATTTTAACTACATATCATTTACAATCATTTATCTCTTACTTTTTTACTTCAAATAAATTTTAATCATTTTATTTTAAATATTATTTTAATACATTCTTAAATTCTACTAACAACTAATCATACATATTTTTCAAAAATAATTCGAACCAATTTTTCCATAAACAATCTAAGCCCCCAAACCGCCAAAGTACACAAAAGGTCAAGAGTAAGTAAAAACGGGCCTATAGAGTTCTCTTCCTGAGATTTTTTTCTCTATCTAGAGCTAGGGTTCCCGTCTTTGGGA